GGGGATATCTCGTTTTGTAATGAACGGAATAGAGAATGAGTACCATATTTGGAAAGAGCTTGAAAAACTGAATCGGAGGAGAGTAAACAAGAGGAAGTACAAGTGCAGAAACTGTTTGATATAGCCAACTTTTTCCCTCAAAAAAATTTGACTTCGTCAAAAATTTCTGGAGCCTTCGCATGACAAAGTGAATCCTTACTTCAAAGTAGTAGTCTCTTCCACTTTCTGATCATTGATTTCCATCGCATCCTGTATCTGTAGGCGTGCACTCCTCGTTCGACAAAATTTCTCGGTGTTCTCTACGTTCATACTATTTAGAAGCGTGTAAAGTTCTTATGAAAGCTCACTTATAGTTCTGTTAAGTTACAATTCCTTGCGTTGGCGCTAACTCACAGTCGGATGTAGCATAGATTTCTTCAATTTGGCAATTTCCACCTTACCCTCGGCAGTGATCATTAATGTTACTTGAGGTTGTTATGTTTCTTTAGAATAGATTATTGCAAGCCTTACTTGGTTCTCGAAGGTAAGGTCTGATCATACACAAAACACACTTGATAGATATGCCAATGAGCGGGATTGACGTAGATCATTTATAAGCAGAAAAACAGAAGGAACGGTTGTGTGTTGAAAACTCGGTGTTATTCAGTTGTTTATAAAATCGTATTAAAAGATATAAAACCTCATGAAAAGACTTTAAGTAAATGGAAAAGTACAAATTAGGAATCAGTGAATGAGGGTGATGTTACAAGTTGAAAAGCTGTGCTGACGCTTTGTCGAAGTAATCCACAGTATTAAACGCCAAGCATAACTGAAAAGAATGAATAACAGCGGAAAAAAACTTGTGAACACCCTCAGTAGAGCTATACAGTCGTTGACAGCGATGTGAGCATCGAATGTCTCGCCGAAGATCTAAGCATGTGAATGAAATTGTGAATACATACGATGACTTACAGCTTCATATAACTTTCCTTGACTAAACTTCTTCAATTCTTTGTATGAGCTCTCGTTGAAGCTCCAATCACAATTGTCTTTGCTGAACATCTATACTTATGATGGACTGTCTATTAGTCTACCGTATGAATAAAGATCTGAAACGAGCTCTGATAGCCAAAGGCCAGTCGTTGATTTTCAAATCACAAAAAGGATCATCGGATTCCAACTGATTTTTATCGTTGGTGGAGTTCGTAGAACCCATAATCTCGTGGATACGTTTCAAATAGTCTCGATCAATTGTTTGGAAAGCATGCAGGCTGTCTGCGAAGAAGCACTGAATTTGAAACATTACAGTCATACAGAGAACAACCAAGTACATCTCCTAAAGCTTCTGCGCCATCTATTCCAGCTCTTTTCAATTCCTCTCTTAAAATTGGATAGTCGAACTTCAACCCATTTTGAGCTACTGTAATGAAACTGAACGAAATAATCTTAACTAAGTATGTACCAAAGCAAAGAGGTTTTTTGAGTCCATCCAGAAACTTTGTGATAGCGGGCCACTCTTCTCCAAAACATCTTTCCTCAGAAAATGTAGACACTTCCGGTGCTGGTTTTATTCCACATAAATGTTTTTTTAATTCGTCTTCTGTAAGCCCATGATTTACATGACGTTGGAAAACAGAGCGAGGGATGGATTCGAAAATCTTCTGAAAACTCCTTCATATATGTTTTTATACTGAAAATCACTTTGTTTCCGATCTTCGAGAATGCCAATTCAAAATCACTTCTTTCCACAGCTACCATACCGATCTCAGTAACTCTCGGATAAACAACATTTTCTAAAATAATTCAAGTGAAGGTAGTACCTAACAGTGAAAGGATTACCTTTTTCTATAAAAGACTTAAAGTTTCGGATATATATGTCGGGTTGATCGATAGCATAAACCCTTGGTGAATAGGACTTGATAAGCCCTGTAGTTTCGAAATCAAGAAACACATAAGTTTCAATAGTTTGTCCCATAAGGAATCTTGCTGCGTGAGTCATCTGAATAAGCGGAAAGTAATTTCTGAACAATTTTTGTGTTTTTCAGGTCAAACACATCACACTGTCTCGCTCTCATCTCTTGCTTTCAGTCTTCTCAAATACTTAACAAACTTCAAACAAAAGTTTTAAACATGAACTAATCAGAAATTTCGTTTCGATCATTTGCCACAGAGAGTACCGAACGATTCTGAGACATCTTGGAAAAGGTGTGGAGAGGACAAGAAATTCCTCTCTTTCTCTCTTTCACTTCATAAACTCGCAATGGTAATGAACGATCAAAAGAGAAAAGAGAATCAGTCGAACAAATGGAATAGTCTTAGTGTGATCACACATTTATACACACATAGATAGATAGATGATACATACTTTCACACTCATCTTTCACTACTATTGGTTCGTTTTCGGTTTCTTTTTCGATCGCTTTTTCGAATTGCACAATATCGATATTCGCGATAAAAATTGATAGTGGTGAAAGTAAGAACGAACATAGAAGGCTCAAAATGACTCGTACGTAAGATTATCATCCGAAAAGATTACAAGGTATCATCAAAGTTTGGTTTTTCTCTTCTTCAAACCTAATGTGTTTTCACTTGTTTTTGGTTCCTCAAAGTATACTCTGAAAGACGTACCGTCACTTGTCGAGTTCCACATCCTGAGATTGTGTAACCTGCTCCTAGTTGCTTTATAATTCATAATGATATGTCGTAATACATTGACCAACGCTTCACGTGAACAACAACGGATGAATTCCTGATGGAAACGATTGGGATGATTAACAACAGAAAATAGAAGATGACTCACATTACAATCGTCAGGAGATTCAAAAAGTTCTCAACTTATTTCGCCATTAACAACTTTGTTGTGTGCAACCCAGCATAGGCATATCCTGGGTCACCTTCAGATACAATGAGACACTGCCGGAAATCCGATAACACGGTCCCAATTCAGTTTTTATTCTGAACATCAATAAGCTATAAACGACAGGTACTCAAACTTACGTTTCTATCAGCCGTTTTTTGACAGTGCCTTTCAATCCGAAAAAACCTTGCTGGTGCGAAGAAAAATATATTAACATCTTCGCTAAGTCTGCCTTCATCTGTCAAACAAAAAGTTCAAAAAAATTAGAACATGCGTGAATACTTTGATTGCATCCAGCTTCAAAAATTTTTGCAACTTGCTTGACTTTAAGTGAAGGTAGAAGATTCAAGAGAAGCTCCAAATCATCGAGGGAGTCATCGCTGCGTTCCACAAAACCGAAATTCGTTATCTCATCAACAGTTTTGGGAGAACTCCAACGAACTCCATATATCTGCCGAGTACATTATAAATATACGATTTGGGTAAACAAGAACACTACCTGTGGCACAGCTTCTCTGTAGTGAGCTAAGCTATCTTGCGAAGGAAGAACCTTATAAGAAGCTGCCTAGCTTTCCATGATAATTCTAAAAAGTTAATTTAAGAAAATTAATGTATAAGGCACGAAAGTAGAACAACACACGTGGCAAACAGAGAAGCGAGATCATAAAAATAGTTGAGGGAGCATCTAGGGTAAAAAACAAAAAAAATTGGGCAAAACGGTTGAGATTGGATTGAGATAGGAGCAATTGAGTGAAATAAATTCGATCAACATTACTGCCAAACCAATATTTCACGTGAAACGTGAAGCACGAATGTTCAATCGAAAAGATACGCTTAGGAAATGCACTGACTCAACGCCGGGAATTAATTTTTTTTTTGAAAAAATGAAATGACACTCGTTTCATTCTAAGAAACTGAAACTCATGTAGCGGTGGTGCATTAGATGTCAACGATAGCACGGAATACGCCGTAACTCTCTTCAAACTGAACGAAAATTCAAAATGTTTTTTCGTTTGCAAACATCGTGCTTAAGAAGAATGGAAAAAACTGATCTGCCTGAGGAGCATGAAGAGAAGAACCTTAGAGGAAAGAAACGATGGAAAACATCTAAAAAGAAAAAAAAACAATAAAAAACAATTAGAAAAAAGAAAAAATGAGTTTACAATTTGGAAAAAAAGGTTTTGTTCTTTGTTAGTTTTTGGAATTTTTCCAGATTTTTATTGGTCTCGACACGACCGGAAAAATAAAAATTCAAAAAAATGCGACGCTGACTGTCATAGCTTCGCCTCCCCCTAGGGATCTGGCCCGTGAGAGCCGTGAAACTTGAAACTCCGCGTGTACTTATCAACTT